AAAGATTTTCTTCAAAATTGTAGTGTGGAATAATTATATTTAACAACAAGAATCTGGATTGGAAAATTGTAACGATATAGAATTTCTCCCTTCGCTCGAGTGAGGGAGTTGACGCTCGAGCGGACTTGAGAGGTTCTCAGTATTTTTGCAGACAGTCCGAAATTCTGAGAGTTGTGAATTCCCGCTCAAGCGTAGAAGTGGTCGCTCGAGCGGACAGCTTTATTGGTTTGCGTGCTCGAGGGTGGAAAGCGACGCTCTAGCGTGAAAAGTGAGATTGTCCTTGACATTTTTATTAGTGTATTTGGAACTTCCTTATTTTATTTTGGGGTATTGATTGAGGTGGTAAGATGATGGTAAAGTAAGATTGGACCAAAAACTTTCATACGAATAATTTGCCTACGATCAACCGTCACTCTTTTGCCCTTTTCTTTTTCCACACTTTGAATTTGGGTGTGAGGCTAGAACCATTGGAAATCTTGTTTCCGAGGCTTTAATTTGGACACAAGAACGACCTAAAACGAAGTTCGGATGAGAGAGTTATACCTGTTTGAAGTTTTGGAATCTGTGTTGGAAGCAGGTACGCTCGAGCGGGAAAAGACACGCTCGAGTGGACTGCGCGAATTCAGCAACTTAAAAAGTGGGTTTTTAGATCATTCTTTACACTTTCTTTTTCCCTCTTCCTTCCTCTCACCCTAGGTCCGAAAACCCTAGAGATTTCGGCCCAAATACCTGCAATTTCTCAAAGATTTGGCCAAGATCCCTTGCAAAAACGTGAAGAAGGTTTGAAGATCTCACTTTTCAACCGATTGGAATTCGGATTTGGGAAGGAATCTCATCAAAGCTTGCTCTTTTGCTTTATTCTTGAGGTAGGGGTCCTAGTTCTTCTTCAATACTTGCATTAATGGATAAATTTGTGGTATTTTGATTATATAAATGCAAAATCTATATTTTGAGCATATAGTGTAATATCATGAAACTTTGGGGTTTAGGGTTTGAAGTGTTGGGGTTCTATTTGTTGGGTTAAGATTATGGATTATGAACCTTAGGTGTGTAATGAATGGGAAAATTGGAATAAAAAGTAATGGTTTGAGAAGTTTGAATTTTTCTTGAAAATCTTAATTTTTCTTGAAAACCCTAGGTTGATTCATGATGATAATTAATGATTTTTCCCAAATTGAAAGTAGAATCATGAAATTGAGGTATTGAATTATATATATGCAAGTTTAATTGAAATTTGGAAGTGTTTGAAAATTATGTTAAAAATTAGCGATTGAACCTTTATTATGGATATAGTAAATCATGTTATAATATGAAATGAAATTGGAAGGAAAAGATTTGTTGATGATGGGGATGATATAAACTTGGTTATGGAATGTTGAAATGGGATTTACGAATTTATCTTGAATTATGTTGAATTATATTTAGTGGTGTTGAGTTGAATAATGTTGAATAGTGTTGATTATGTTGAATTGTGGTGATTATGTTGAGTTGTGTTGATTATGTTGAAGCGTGTTGGCTATGTTGAATTGTGTTGAATCATTGTGAGTTGTGTTGTATTGGGTTGTGTTGAATTTGAGTTAAGTTGTGTTGGGTGGTGTTGTGTTGATACCCACGAGGGGAGTTGAAAAAATGGTTTTTTGCTGCCCACGATCGTCCGTATAATAGCCAGTAAATGTGGGGGATGGTTTTAAAAATTGTAGAAAAAGGTTTTTGGGGTCCTACGTTCCTGCTGTATAGTAGCTGGCAAATGTGGGGGTGGTTGAATTAAAGGTGCCCAACTGCCCTGTCTAGGCTTATCGCTGGACGAATGTGGAAAAATGTTTTTGGGCGTCCACACAATCCCGCCGTATAGTAGCCGGCGAAAGTGGAAAAATGATTTTTGGGTGTCCATATAGTCTTGTCGTATTGTAGCCAGAAAAAGTGGAAAAACGGATGGTTTTCAAAAATATTTTGGGTGCCCACATCCCGCCGTATAGTAGCTCGCAAATGTGGGGGATGGTTTTAAAAAAGTTGAAAAATGGTTTTTGGAAAAAATATGGTTTTTGGAAGAAAATGGCTTTTGAGAAAATGATTTTTGGGAGTTCACTTCCCGCCGTATAGTAGCCCGCAAAAGGTGGAAAGTGTTATGGATTGGGTGCCCGCTGTCCCATCGTAGTAAGTCGGCAAAAGGTGGATTGTGTTGAGCTATGTGTTGAGAAGTGTATTGAGTTAATGATGTTATTTGTGACTTGTGATGAATTTGTGAAATTGTATATTGATGTGTAATATGGTTTAAAGAGGAAATGTGCATAGACATTTTTTGTAAAGAATGGAAACCAAAAATGGGTATGAGAATTATGGACTGTGATGGTAAACTTAATGAAGTAGTTGTGGCAATAAAAGTAAATTGTGAGTGTTGTTCTTTAATTAAATAAAGGATTGAATTCAAAGGGGTTTATTAATCTTGTGTTATCTTGACATGAAATTTTGAGAGTGTAATTAATGGTGTGAATTGAGTATAGGAGAATTGTTAGCAAGTCAAAAAGGAACTTGAACTTGAAGTTATGGGGTTCTAAATTAAAATAATGAGTAGAAAAGAAGAATGAAAGTAAAAGAGGAATATTAAAAATGGGAATTAAATAAGAAATATTTTAGGAATTGGTTAATAACTTTTAAATGATATTGTTTCTTAAATATGTTTGTTTCACAAGGATCTATTATTTTCTAAAGTTAAGGGATGATTTTTAATAGCTGAAGGTTTTTCTTAAAGGTGTTTAAATAATTTTTTTTGAGAAAAAGGTACTCTACTTATGATATTTTGAAATTATAAAATGTCACTCTCCTATATGGTATCACCCTGCATGCATGATCATTTCTATCTATGTGTTAGTTATTGATTGAGAACTATGAGATTCCTACTGGGCATTCGTGCTCACCCCTTGTTGTTTTATCTTTTTACAGGAAGAAAATTTGGATTCATAGTTGAAGAGTTACGAAGTCCATAAGTCTGTGTAATCTCGTTGTGGATGTGAAGAAAGTAATTGTTGTATGCTGATATTTGTATTTATTTATTTGTGGCTTCTCAGTAGGAGATTGGCATGTATCATTATTATTGTTGTATTCATTGAGAAAGAGAGAACATTTATCATTGTATTTCTATTACTCAAGGGTAATGAATGTTTGTTACAAAAAAAAAAGACCTAAATTTACAAGCTTTTGTAATGTTTTCGAGTAATAAAAAATTGGGGCGTGACAAAAATCGTTCTGGATAGAGTTATGTCTAACGTAACATCTTGGGAAAAACCTAAGGAGTTTAAAGAATTCTCAGTGGCTGATTTTATATTTGATTTTGTTAGTATTAGAGCTTGTTTGTGATTTGATTTTATGCCTCATGGATGCCGCTGTTTAACCTGGTTGATGGTACTTTACTTGATGGGTTTATTGATCAGTTGGCTACTTTGTTTTGAGTTGCTGGTGTATCTTGGCCTGATTGCTTTGTTGTTGTTGTATCTTGGCTGAAACAAAATGTCTCATTTCTAAAATTGAACTTTAAAAACTCAAAATCATGTTAAGAGTTGGAATATTATTTGTTACATGTTGTAACCACTTCACTCTTGATGAAACATCGTGTTTAAGTGGACTCTTAGAGATTGTGATTAGGTGCTATAATCATTTTTAACATGCTAGAATTTTTGTTTACATTAAAATATGTTGGAATTTGAGTTCAAGTACTCCAGGTAAGTATTAGATCATGAGATTTGTTTAAATACTAGATTTAAAAATATGAAACAGAAAAAAAAAAATGTTCTTGTTAAGTGAAAATATGGGGTGATTTCACTTGGTAGGAAAAAAAATGGAAGAACATAAAGTTTATTTCTCCTTTATTTTATTTTAAATTGGAAGAACATTAGCTATATCTTTGTTGTAGGTAGGTCACCTATTAAACAACCTCGGAGAGCTATGTTCCCCAGCATTTCGATGGACTCCATCACATTGGTATATGATATGATTTGCATGGGCTAGAACGATGCATATATTTGAACATGGGATTGTGAGCTATTAGGATGATATGAAGATCTCACTATCACACAGTTTCTACAATAAGTTTTGAGTTGTCCTAGATACAAATTGCTAAGGCATAGTACAATGCGTTTGGGCCATCACTTGTGCATAGAAAATGCTTTTGATTCCAAAGGATATGAATGTTTAGAAAGAAACTATTTTTTTTTAAGAAGAAAATGCAATTTAGTAGCTTCATTGTATGCCCAATATTTTTTGGTCAATTGAGCATTAATTACTTTGTAAATGTATGTGTATATCAAGTATTTTACTTAGTGAATGAAATTTAGCTAATTTTTTCCGAAGTGTTTGAATGTTACATTTTCTTCTGTTGTGTTCATATAATTCAAAATCTCTAATGAATTGCCAATCAATTATTTAAACAAGCTAAATTTGATTTTGTGTATCTCTGTTTGGAAAAAAAGGTACTATTATCACTAGTCATCTTTGGTAAAAGGGTTAACCATCCTTGTCCATTTGTTGAGCTTAAATCATCGCCAAAACCTTCACTTCCATCAAATTTCTCCTCACTATAGGAACATGAAATGGTATGTATCATGTGGGATGGCCTCATCCACATATAAATCATCAAAAGTACATGCTTCATTATGAAGGTCAACATTTGGAAGGTAAGGACATTGTGTTATCATGAGTATTGCAAACCAAATGTCTAAGAATTTTGAGTGGATACATGCAGTAGACATTTTTTTTGCTCTTGTTAGAAACTGGATCTTATACCACAGTCAGTGCTTCTTATTAACATGCTGACTGACCACACCAAAGTATTCATAATGAAAAGAAAAATCTACACAATTCTTGTGTGAACTTGAAATGGCAAGCATCCAAATCTGCAAGTTTAAAAAAAGAAGCAACAGTATAAAAATCAGTTTCCATTAACTATTGAAGTAGCAATAAAATAAATTTAAAACTAAAACCAAGAATAAAGATATTCTTACCATGTGAAAAGCATCAGCCAATATGAAAGAACAAGTGGGAAAGAACAGAAGCTCCACAAGAGTCCTTCAAAACATGAAAACTGCAAGTGAGAGGAACTACCATTAAAGCACCTTACATAACCCCCCCAAAAAAGTCATATCAACAAGATAATAAAAAAAAATTCGAAAGCATGTAATTTCTCAAGAAGCAAATGAAGTTAAACAAAGACACAACCCCATGAAGCACGGACAACTCCAGAGGCAACGTATGGGTGTCCGACATGTGTCGGACATGGACACTCATTGGACACGGTGGATACATGTCAGACACTCTACCTAACGTGTCCCCCCCCCTTTTTTTTTGACCCCCCCCAATTTTTTTTTGTAGCGAGACACTCTTCGGAGACAGAAACCCTACCCCATTGGAGATAAAGCGAGAAACCCTAACCATTGAAGACAGAGACATAAACATAGATAAAGAAAGAGAAAGGGTGAAGAACTTGTTGAAGCCCTAGGTCGAGGCTAGATCGAGGTGCGTTCTTCCAATCTGTGTGTTTAACTCGCTCTCTCAAATTTGAATTCTCTCTTCATAGCCGCTTCCTCTACTGCTCAACTGATGGAATCGAATCAAATGTAATGGCAAAGAAACCCAAAGATCCACCAAACAATGGCGATTCTAACTCTAGTTCCAATTTTGGTTCTAGTTCATCCAAGATTTTTGAAACCCTTTTTGGAGATGTCCTAGAACATAACACCTTCATCTTCTTCGAATCTTCGTTTCTTTCGTCTCTTTATCTCTGTTCGTCTCTCTTTGTCTCTCTCTTGCTGTGTTCATCTCTCCTTCTTTCTCTGTTCGATTCTCCGTTTGCTTTTTTGTTCGACTCTTTCTCTCATTTTCTTTGTGCTTTGACTATCTGCCTCTCATATCCACCCAAACAAAAACTGTTGTCTCTTTCTCTCTTCTCTTCTTTATTGTTTTTTCTTTCTTTTTTTTTTACCTGTTTTATTTTTGGTAACGAAAAAATCTTTTTTATTCCCTCGTTTACTTTTTAATTTTTTTTTAATATTCTTGTTTGTTAAACATTAATTTTTTTTTTTTGTAAAAAAAAAAATTATGAATGATATTTGACATTAAAATAAATAAATAACATAATATAAATATAAATAATTTTTTTTACATATAATAAATAAATAAAATTATATATATTGAACATGTCCCTAACGTGTCATGTCCCTTATTTTTTTAAAATTTTCGTGTTCACGTGTCCGTGTAGTGTCACTTATCCGTGTCCATGCGTCATAGACGAAACCAATAAAGTCCATATTGTTTAAATCTCTATAGTTTTTTTGAGGAATAAATTTGTTACAGTTCAATATTCATAATTCTTCAAGCTAAATACAAAGGTCCCTACCACAGATACAAGCTCTATCAACATCAAAAATGTTTCACAAAAGCCTATATATACATTGATAAGCTTCTTCCTTCAAAAACTATTTAGCCATCCACCTCCAGAAAACCATATCCAAATCAAGAATGCATATAACCAACTATACAAACATAAATAGGCTAAAATACAAACATAAATTTTATGTCATTTTATATAAACATAAAATTTATATAAAATTTTGAAATACAATGATATAGCTTAATGGTGACTTTTCCCTTTAGAACAAAACATCCATAAACATGATTTCTATTTACAACAACATCACTATATCAACATTTTTATGATAAATTTTTATATATGAATAGAAATTTTCATTTTTATTTAAACCATCATTTTCTTTCTCGTTTATTCAACCACATTTATTATAGTATTACCAAACATTGTCATTCACATATATTACAGTATTACTGAATTTTTGTATTTTTAAATTTTTTTTTATGTATTTGGTGAATTTAAAAAAAAATTCACAAAATATTATACTTCTAAAGTATATCTAGATTAGGTGTATCTAAAATATAAAAAAAAATTGCTTAAAATATTTTTAAAGATTCAGTACAAATAAAAAAAAAACACAAAATAAAAAAAATAATTTTTTTGTGTGAATTAAACCAAAAATGACATGAACAAAATATCAACATTATTTTATTATTTTATATGTATAAAGGCTAAGCGGCAAATATGTCATTTTAATCTAACAAGGAGTTAAGTGTAATTTTTCAAACGTGAGAGAGGATCTGTATTAAACAGAAACCTCATGGGGTGTTAGTGTAATTTACCCTTATTATAAATATGCATTTGTTACAACAAAAATATCAATTGCAAGCACCTAACAAATTTTTTTATATGAAACATAACATAAAATTAACAAATTAATTTAAACATGTAATAGAAATATCAATTTATATTTTCATGACAAGTAGTGGGACTGCAATAAAAAAATTCAAAAGGATAAAACTTGCTTTTGAGGGGTAATAGATAACCTACATCTTTTTTGTTCAACACAGAAAGAGTCCTCGTTTTGGGAAAGCTATTCATCTTTTATCAACAAGTTAGGTACCTGGAACATTGGAGTAATGCTAGTGCCTCCAACAAGCATCCCAAAAGCTCTAACTTGGTTCGGTAGATACTTGATTCTTCCATGGAGACACCACACATACATTAATTACAAAGATTTGAAAAACATGAATGTGGTTCAAAACCTTGACTTCAAATAACCATCTCAGCTTCAGAAAAAAATTTACACATCATGAGCTTCACTGAATGTCTTAAAATATACTCAATTGAATGTTTATAGAAAAGTGTAAATAGCTCAACATGTAATAATTGCCAGAGAACTATCTTAAGAAAGCCAAAGCCAAACAATATGCTGTCCTATTCAATCCCCACACGCCTACAACCTTTCTTATACCTTCTTCTAGAACCTTAAATCTACAGGCTTTTCTTACCCTAAACTGCCACAAATCCAAATCGAACAACAGGTAATAGCATACCAAGTTGTCCAAAAGCTAAACAATTGTACCTGCAAATAAGAGGCAAAACTAATAATTATCACATGCCCATGAAAAAAAAATCTAATTGACAAAAAATTTAAATGGGCACATAAAAAAGCATATTTACTCAAAACTTTAACTTGATTACTATCTTTCAACAAAATGTGCAAATTTAGGCAAAATTTTCCATTTTCCAACCTTTTCATTACATCAAACCCCAATGATCGTGAAATAGAAATAGGGAAATAGCATGGGGCTTTAAATTCTTATCAGATCATATACACATATAATATAGATTTCAAAACCCAAATAAAAAACCCTAGATTCCACATCATGGTACATATGAAAATACAATGAAACAATAACAAAAGGGGAAAAAAAACGTTTTATTAAAAATCTTCATTGGTTACGAAGAATTCTAATCTTGGATATGAAAAAATAAGAGAGACATAATAACAAAAAATAATGAATATATAGTTACGAGACATAATAACAAAAATTAGATATCATACATAACCTATATCATGCATATAGTACCTCATCCTCAAACCCTTTCAAAGGACTCATCATCATCATCAGTATGATGATGATCTGATGGTATGTAGTCATTGTCATCTACCTCAACCCTAATGTTCTTTCCCTTCTCATTGACACGATTGGGCTGAGTAGAACCCATCAAAGAAGCTGTTAAACCCTTCACTTGTAGAGCATTCATTTTCTTATTATTCTTCTTTATTTCTCTTATTTCTTTCCTTTTTGTACTCTATTAGCTTTTGTTTTGCTAGAAAACCTGGTTTAATCCATTGTTTCTCCCCTTTGGCTATTTTGGTAACTAAAAAGCATAAATTTATATAAAACATAAAATATAAAGCAAACTATTTACTTGAAGAAACAAAGCAAAATAAAACATAAGCATGTAATGCATAAAAAACATGTCCATATAGAAAACACAAAACAAAAACTACATATCAAGATTTGTAGTATCCTATATGCGCAACTTTGAAGTTTAATGATTATGCAAAGTTAATTAAAGTTAGGTGAATAGGACAAATTTTATATATAAAAAAAACAAAAATAAAAATTACTCATTTGAAAAATAATTTGAAGTTCAATGTTTATGCCGAGTTATATAAATGAAAACCACACATAAATCACACGAGGAAATACACATAGGAATTTAGCATAAAAAAAATCATGGAAAACTCTTCTCAAATGAAAATCATTAATACTCCTTAACTCATCATTTTTTTTGGAGGGGACAATTACTAATAATAATAAAAATAAAATAAAACCAAGTTTTGAGCCACTTAGCACAATAAACTTTGTATTTTTAATTTTGTCAATTTGTAGTTGGCCCCAGAAAAACATAAATACTATCCCATAAGTCATACCCAACCAAGTTCTAATCACCCTTACAAAGATGTGAGGTGAAGAACTTGCATCAACAAAATAAAGCACTTTTCACACATACAACTCAAAATGTACAAACGGGTCCCATAAACTAGATCTTTCCATGAGTTCATCCTTGGGCTTGGGCTGTATAGCGATCCCGGGTTTCCAACCAAGTTCTAATCACCCTTACAAAGATGTGAGGTGAAGAACCTGCATCAACAAAATAAAGCACCTTTCACACATACAACTCAAAATGTACAAAAGGGTCCCATAAACTAGATCTTTCCATGAGTTCATCCTTGGGCTTGGGCTGAGTTTTATCCTATAAACTCAATTACAATTGGATTCAAATGGATTGGACAACAGATACAGCCTCTTACACTAAGACCACCAATTTCACAACCACCATCACCACCGTTATCATCCTCGCCACTCCCTACCACCATTTCAACTCCACTTCTATCATTACTCTACTATCACCATTGTCAGTCCCTACCCCACCACCGCCATTGCTACCAGCCTACTACCACATCCATCTTCACCTCCAAAATTATCATATTTTTAAATTTTTAAATGAATCAAATATATTTTTGTTAACAACATACTAGAGTGCAAGGGTTAGTTTTATGGGAGAGTACTTTAGTCATCATCTGGTCTTCGAATAATTAGAAGACTTGAGATAATAATTTCTTTTATTTATGTTATGCTAGTAAAAACTTATAATAAAGGGAGTTCCAACAAAATTTTCATTAAATTAATCATATAACTACAAAAGTAAAATAAATAAATAAAATCATAGCTTAATTTGTGATAAATGAACACAAAATCCAAGAATGATTTCCCAACATAGAATGCTTTCGTTTCATGCCACTATTAATTTGTGATAACGCAAACTCCTATCTGTATGCTTTAAAATGGTGGGGTAAAAAACAAAAAACAGTATTGTACATTGATCCCAAAGAAAAAACCAAACTCAAATTAGCCAGAGAAGCCCAAAGATGTACACAATAAAAACCAAAACCACCCACCCACCAAGCACTCCCAACGTAATATCACCCCAATCAAAGCCAACCACCATCTCATGTCATTGACCAACCACCCCCTTTTACGTATCATGACATTGTTATTCACAAATCATAAGATAATTAAATTAGTAACCAAAATTAGCTACAAAAACAGACAATCAATTTTAGATAATTAAAAAAAAATAAGAAGCATGTTGGACCCACCACAATGGCCTTTGCAAATTCAATGGTTAGCTTTTATATAAATAGCACCAATGTAAGTAATGGTTGACTTATGTGATAATATGAGTTACAGAGCTCTAATGTGCTCACATGAGTTTAGTGACACCATTCATCCCACAATATACCAAGTACTTGACAAAAGTTAATATCTAGAATTCATGTACATTTCAAATATTTAGATATCAAATATCAAAATTCAACAACAATTTCAATATTCATTAATAGATTAATTACGTTCTCAATAATACAAAGGACATCAAATCCAAACTACACATTTCAATATTATTGAGATTTGTGTTTCAATATCACACGTGAATTAGCATGTTGTCATATGCTCCAAATTAAGTCATTCTTCTCACATGTAGGGGATGAAAACAAAGACATTACACTTAAAAACCAAAATAAAAATGTGTTTTGCTGAATAACAATACAAATAAAATATCATATCAATTAGAGTGCTGACAAAATATATATATATATATATATATATAAAGAGAGAGAGAGATTTAGATAAGCAAAACAATAACACATTAACCAAATATACCAAAACAGAACGTTCTATACCTTAGGAAAACGGTAAACGGGGTATGATCTACCTACCCACATTTATCCATCAACTAGAGATGGTAGCTACTGCCGAAAATGTAAACATAGCTAAGCTTTAGAAATCTAGGAAAGGAGAGGAAGATATAGAGAGAGACCAAGATTAATTGAATTACCCGGTGCTGCTGGGTAGAGGTTGCAACAGGGGTCGGGGTTGGCGATGGCGAAATGGTCATTGTTGATCGAACGATGGTGGCAACTTCCAATTGTAGGTGGAACAGGATGAAGAAAATGGCTGCAGAAACACCTACAAACAATCATCAAACTGCCATACCACCATAGGAATCCCTTTGTCGATTGAGAGGGAATGGATGGTGTAATGACTCGGATTTTAATTCACATTGGATTGATGTAAAGTGGTGCCAATCACCTTAAAACTTGTACAGTTGTCGGACTCTTGATATTAATGGGTTGGCAAGTGAACTTTAAATATTATAATTGAGAACCCTTGGGTGACGTTTGGAACCTTGATTGAAGCCTTAACAAGGTATTTAGGTAAGATTAGATAAAAAGCCCCAAGTTTGAGTTTGAGTTTTTGACTAAGACGCATAGCCATACTAATCACTTCCTATGTACCCAAAGTATTTAAACTCGGTACGCTCTGATACCAAGTTGTAATGCCCTCAAAATGGACCCAAAATCATACATTCAAGACATCCAAAAACTTAAGAGAATAAGCATAATTCTAATTGTCAGAGTATTCATTACAGAAGTATTACATGTTGACATCAAAAGTAAATGCCCTACGGGATTACAACTTTTCAAGCCAACACTTGGTTACAAAAAGAGAGTACTAACTAAAAACACAAAATAAGCCCTTGGCTTGATTTACATGTAATACACAAAATAATCACAAAAAGGTCTCTCAGCCATTAAGCCTCCCAAGCTACGTCCTTGGAGGTGGCATGTCACCTATACCTGAAAAGGATGTCCCATATAGGGTGAGCCAATGCCCAGTAGAGATATGCTAAACATAACATGAGCAATAACTAAAACATGAGCATTCAATAAATGTTAACACTGGTCAACCAACTTACTGCACAATCCAATTCCATGACAAATATGTCCATGTTTCATTTTGTTTCCCTTTACTTAACCAATTTTCAATTCATAACATGGCTCAGAACCTTGCCAACAATTTAATGAGACTACGACTCATAATAAGGCACTTCCTTTTTAAATGAGATATCAACTCAAATCAAAACACTTCCATACTTCACAATAGATACACAAATTTGCTGTATCAATAACATATTAAAATACTTCCATACTTCACAATAGATACACATATTTGTTGTATCAATGGAGTGCATCCCCTATCTCCTCCCAAGTAATATCCGGTTTACGAGTCCATCCCCTATCCCCTCCCAAATCGTGGAGTACATCCCCTATCTCCTCCCACACAATACAATGTATATAAACAATTATCATATACATGATCAATTAATACACATATTTGATGTATTATTCCAACCATCATATTCAATGACATATTCAATCGATTAGTTTTAATTCACCTAATCATCATGCAGTGTCTACAACAATCAAGACTATCCTCCACCGATAGCCCAAAGCAATTATTTCTAAATAGATAATAAATGCATCGACAGATAAATTATCAACATTTTCAAAGGTGAGTGATTAACTTATCCAACACCATCATTCATTCTCATAACTCATCAATTTCATTATTTCCATATCTTTCCCAAATTAA